ACACACACACAGGCTCACTGTCAACATCACCAAGGGGGGACGTGGGTGCGTCTAGCGCGGATGCTACTGTCCTTGTCGGCTAACAGCAGCTACTTCACTTTTCAAATAGCAAGTCCGAATGTCGACACACGCTAATGTAACCGAAGGGTCAGTCAGCAAACCGTTAGCCCCACAGTGTCCCTGCCCACACGCAGAGCAAACAGAACAGCGTACCAGCACGGCTCTCTCCACCTGACTGGCAGCGGACATCTTGGGCAGCTCGGACAGAGACCTCTGCGGGTTGAGCATTTTGCGCAGCAGACAGAAGCAAACCGTCGACCACCAGCTTGAAACACTGTCCTCTCCTTGGAATGAAGATGTCTCACGACGTTAAGTTACGCACTAGCGGAGGGTATGTTCCCTTCAAATGCTGTCGGAAATAATGCGACCGCTCAAATGCGTGATTCCCATTCAGCGGCAAAGACAAATGAAAGAATGACCAAAGACGAGTCCCGACAAGTAAATACGAGACTGGGCGTGTAGATGTGGAAGGTAAGTTGTTTTCAGCTACATGTGGTTTAGTCTTTCATCTTAATATTCATTATTTTGTACATGCAAACCCTCCTCTTCATTCAGCCAATGGGCCACAAAGCAGTCGCGCGCTGCTTCTCATCTTAAAAACATTCAAAAACAAATCCAAGCCAGCATAAATATGCTGACTGATGTTTTGTTACTAATCCCGACCAGCATACTATAATGAGGGGTTTATTCATTGCGGACTTTACGCGAACCCTTGAATGCCGCATTATGCTGGTCACACATTCACTATTAAAGTGGCCCCACCCACTAGTCCTTATTTGGGAATAACTTCCGCAGCGAGCTCGGGTCATGGAAAACGTAAGGACACTTGATTTCCACCAGCGTTTGGGAGTTTGGTCGTGAATCTGGACTTTGTACATTTTGCATCCGCAGAGGGCCCCATTTTAATACATCCACTATGATGCCTGTACAAATAATGAATCAACAGGTAAACACATGCATCTACAGTGGTTGTTAGGCTTTAGAGCACTCAAGAAAGTCTCAGCATCTTTCAGTCCTGTTTTCTAAACAGACTCTGACAAAGATTTACTGTATTTCCCAATAAAAGACAACCGAGTAAGACTGTTTAAAAGAAGGCAGGACTTCACTGGAGGTGAACAGTTGTTCCCCACTGCAGTAACCCTGGTCATGGTTGATGAACTCTCAGCTGTTACAGACCTGAAGTTAATGTAATTTTGATCACTGCCAATATTCAATTTATGACGGCTTTTAGGTCAAAATCTCTTAAATCCCTGACTTTATGGAAGTGCCTTCAGAATGACATGAACACCTCTTTGAAACGGGACCATCATCAGCGACATACAGACTGAGTGAACACAGCCTGGCCAAAGAAAAGGGTCGCCACAGACAGAGCTGGCTACCACAAGAGGAGAGACTCTGCTCCCAGTGTGACAGGGGACAGGTAGAGACAGAGCTGCACTTTCTAACCTCATGCCCTAAATTTAAAACACAAAGACAAAAACACTTTGCAAACATTTCCCAAATATACCCTGAATCCGAATTTATGTTAGACACACAGAAACTATTTACTGGGAGAAATTCCCAAATGTCAAATAATTGCTGCAAAATATGTCTACTCGTGCCATGAACTGAGGACAACTAGTGGAAACTCCGACTGATAAATAATTGTAATAATTTTCAAGTTATTATTTTGATATTTTAGTAATTGTTGTGTTTTTAAATCTCACTTTGATACTGATTTTTTAAGTTGTTTTTAAAATTAAATTATTTATTTTCATGGTCTATTAATATACATACACATTTACAGTTTTATCTATTTATTTGAATTTTTAATATATTTTAATTTTTTTTAACACGCTTACTGTTTTATTTTCATTTTCTAACACAGAAACATACGATTATTGTTTTATTTACTTACTTTTAATATTTATTTTTACAGAATTTTATATTTTATATATTTTTCATTATTTTATTCATTAACACACAAACAACTTTTACTGTTTTATTTCCTTATTTAATGAAGTGTATGAAATTAATTGTTCTTATGCAATTTATATGTAGCTTTGGCAATATTGTTGCTATACATTCATGCCAATAAAGCTAATTTGAATTTATTATAACCCATCTCCAAAATGCTGGATCCTACAACACCCATAATGCAACTAAATAGATATTTTGTTTGACCTTCCTTGCCTGGTAAATTACTTCATTTATGTTTCGTCCTCAACAAATACCCTCTTGTTTGAATAATGATTGCTAAACAAAGAAAAATATAATCATATTTTTTGGTCCTCTTCCAAAACCGTATGTTTGATAGGAAGCAGTGGACTGGCTGAGTGCCACAGACTGGGTCAAGAAGTCAGGAAGTACTGAGAGACAGACACAAATGTTTGTTTTTGAGAGGCGGCGAGAATTACATTAACAATCCAAATAATATTAACAGAACAAGAGACTTGATCAGTGATTAAACATGCACATGTCAGTAATCAGGAGAGGATTTATTAAACAGCACAAAAGTCTTGATATTTCCACATGTACACAAAATCATAAATATCCCCCAAAACCAAAGTCACACCCTCCTTCCTTCAACGGGATCCAACTCATTGTCATTTAAATGCAATAATAAGCCAGATTATATAAGCCACATATTAATAAACCATTTACACTTGAACAATCTACAGTATTAAAACACAAAGATGTCAGACAGTCGCTCTGTAGAGTCAAAACCATAAGTAGTTGTTTTCATTAATCCCGGTTATTGTAGATATAAAAGCAACCCAACTAAACCTAGTGTGCTATTTACATCTGTCTTCTAAAAACAGTTTACACGTGTGTGTAAGGGGAACCTAACTTAAAACCCTTCATCATCATTTGTTTGGCAAACAGAAAATGTTGGATTCTTAACATGCAACAACAAAATGATTGTTTTGTGAGAAACTAATTCATTTACAGTTTAAACAGATAAAAAACACAGGCCTTAAGGAACAAAAACCATGAGGTCTTTACTGGAGGAAGGTGGTGCACTCTGGAGTTCTGGTCTTGCATCTTCACTTCGTTCTACAGGAGTGCCAGTGAAAGATCAGCACAGCGTGTTGCTACAGCCTGCTCGTCTTTAAATCACTGCGTCACCTCCATGATGGAGACAATGGGGTCGACTACTGATGTGCTCCTTCCTAGGGGGCATTTTTCTACATTTTCTTCTTGAAGGAAAAGAAAGGAAAAACAGATTTGCTGCTGTGTTTACCATCTTGATTCACCCTTTTCTGCACTTCCTTCTTGGCGCCACAATAGATTACAGCCACAAAAACAATACCCACATCCTTCTTGGTCAAATCTGACAGAAAATGAACACGCATAAACCCCCAAACTCTACACAGGCTTTAAACTATGACTTAACACCATGTTTGATGTACAGTCTTTAGTAGTGGATCAAAGAACGCTCCAACAGATGAAAGCCGTCTCCTCCTCAGGTACACAACAACGTACTGTGCCATGTTCTTATGGACCTGAGTCCTTGTGTTTTAGCCTACGTAGCCAAGGTCTTCAAGAGTCCACAATTCTGGACCGAATCCAAAATAAAACTACCCAAACCTAATGTGCATTACAAATTTTAAATAGAGACCCCATTGGTACAGACTCAAGGATGCTTAGACCTGACCCAGATTAACATTTTCCCATCATGGAGGGTCTGCTTGGATCCTCTCTGGTATTATCCATACTGATACCCAGACCTCAGCTCTGCAGGAACAAAACCGACAGCTGACCGACTTTGAAAACTATTTGGACCCCAGTTGAGCCCGATCGGTACAGAATTTGTGAGGCTGGTCAGGATCAATGTAAGAAGTACATAATACAACAGGATCCATGTCAACATTGGGTTTAGGGCTCTGATAGGGTACGTATCGCACTGTAACTATTTTGCTGAAGTGTGTGTGTGTATATATATATATATATATATATATATATATATATATATATATATATATATATATATATATATATATATATATATATATATATATATATATATATATATATATATAATATATATATATATATATATATATATATATATGATTGTTTGACTGATGCAACAGTTAAATCAGTAATTCTATTCCAATTACAAACAGCTACTGCCTGTGGAGCTGAAGATGTATTTATTTTACAGCCTCAACTTTCACAGTTTTTTAAACTAATCAAAGTTTCCAACCTCTAACCCACTTCACTGGGTCATTAGTCTGGTTTTGTCCTGGTGTCCCACCACGGTCTAAAATTGGCCCTCATACCCAGCCAACAACGAAGTTTTAACTACAAGAAAAAACTGAATTGATGTTACGTCTTAATTGTGACCTTCAGTTAAAATTCAACTCAAAAAGTGGATTTACCTAGTTAAGCCTAGAGAAATATATTAAAAACATATTTTAAAAAACCAAAAACAAACAAAAAACACCACCACACACAGTGGAAGTGACACTTCTTGTGTCTTCCGAAAACAAGTATGATGGGTTTCAAATGTGGAAATCTCAAGTCTTGATGAGAGATATCAATTATTACTGCATTTTAAGGCTTCAACACATCTGCTGCTCTGTCCTTGCTCTGTTCAGAGATCAATAACACCAACGTAAAAGCATAAATCATCTTGTCATATACAGAAACAAGCCGTGGCCAAACTGCACCAAGAAGACCTGGAAGGAAACATAAATAAATACATCTATTATAGAAAGACTTGAGGGGTTACAATATTAAGGCAATGCAGCGGCATGTTCTTGGTGTTTCTCTCATGGAATTCTGGGCATTTAACAGAAAAGCCAAGATCACACTAAATTAAATAAACTCATTTGCACAAGAAAAAAAAATAAATCTTCTTTAGGGTTTATGCATCAACTAAACCTGACAGCTATTTCTCTGGGGCGGGCTGGACACTGCTCTTCACGGTGGCACTGGAGCCGACATCCTTTCCAAACTTTACTTCTGTTTTTTTTTTTCTGATGTTGTCAGAAACCAGACGAACTGCAAGAGCAACCACAGCTGGAGCACTCTTACAGCATATATTCCCCCAGTACAGTCAGTGCAATGCTCAAAGTTGCCTCTAACAAAAGAATTACAATCCCATGACTCATGGGCAGGTAACACGGCCTGCGCTGGGGCAAAAAGAAATAAAATGAAAATGAAAAACTCATTACATGACGAGGGAGAAATAATAATAAAGACTGCGTGGTCCAGAGGGTCTGTCCCACCTCGGTCTAGTGAATGTAGGCTCTGTAGACTGCAGAAATATCGTTGTCCGACTGGTCCAGTGCCTTAGCCCTCTTGTATACCTGCACAGGTCAGCAAAAACAACAACAAAGGTTCAGTTGTATTGCACACACTTCAGTCCTGTTATTTTAGCATCTATTATTAGAAAGGATTCAGTATTACAGCAGGTGGATGAAAGAAAGTTTCAACAGATAAAACAAGGCATTTCCTGCGCACTGCCAAAACACACAATGACTTGGAGAAAAGAAAAAACTTCTAGACCCTGGCAACTGGCTTCCATGATTTTTAAAATGGGTCACAAATTTACTTGGGCGGCCCAAGTAAAGCTGATGTGTGGGAAATACTGATAATAGCATCCATTCATCATGTCCAATCACTTCTACTTTGCTGTTTTTTTTTTAATTGCTGTTAAGATAAAGTCAATTAAATTGACATTTCCTGCAGACTTCTTACATTAAAAACCCATCAAGATCATGCCCTTTGGTCATGTGGAGACTTAACGTGAAACTTGCATTAAGTGTTACTGTTAGTATCTTTGATGAAAGCTGAACAGCAATCTAAACTCTCAGCAAAGGAGTGGTAGTATAATAGAGTGGTGAGCATAATATATAATATCTACCACCGACTTCCTCAATAAGTGGTCAGAAGATGGGAAATAAAAATCAAGGCCTGGCTCTCTCAGTCCAAAAAAGGGCAAGTCAAAGGCAAGTTAGCTTGTTCTGCAAGAGGTGAGTGTGTCCATAAAGCTAATACATCCAAGATTTAGACAGGTCATTCCATTAAGTCAGTCTCCCACTCAACACATTGAATCTCTGAAGCCATCATGTGAGTACTGGCAGCAAGCAGGCCTTTTTTTTGGTCACCCCTTCACAGTACATAGATTCAAGAAAGAATGAGCAGACAAAAACACAAAGTTTACACATGAAAAAAATAAAAGCACACAGTTGTACCTCATTGGCAGCTGCAGCCATTGGGGTTGGATGGTTGGCCATGTCGCCCATGGAGATGGCTAGCCTCAGGTCCTTCTGAATATGTTTCAAATAGTAGTCTGGCTTAAAGTTGCCCTGTAAAATATCTGGAAAGGCAGGAAAAAAGGTTATTATTAGCCTATCTCTGTTTGACATGGTCTGAACAGTGTTCATGTAACCAAATTTTCTACAGCCACAAACTCAAAACTTTAACATTTAAGACTGAAGAAAGAAACACGAGCCAATACGTACAGCTAAAAAACAACAACAAATAAATAAGGTGCAAAGTCAGTTACTTACTTTGGCATTTTTGGTCCACAAAGGTGCTCGCCATCTGGCCCTGGCACAGAATGTCCAGGAAGGTCTGCTGTGATTGGCCGGTGGCCTGGGCCAGGGTTAGCCCCTCTGCAATGGTGGCCATGAAGCTGCCCTGCACCATGTTGAGGATCAGCATCATCCTCGCTGCATTCCCTGCTTCACCTGAAAACACATTCACAAGCATTTTTACAAGCTAGACAGAAGCCAGAGGAGAGACTCCGATCTGAAATGTCATGATATTTTCATGGTCATTCACTGACAAGAACAGGAGATGGTCACCTAGATCATTTTGAAAATTTCAGTGGCAGTCAGAAAGTTTAGGGCACACCTTAAATCAACCTGCAACGCAATTTTTCAAATTTAACAGTATTACTGATAAATGCTTTGTAGTTTCTGGTTTAATTACTAACGTGCTGTTTAATTTCAGTTTAAGCTGCTGTTGTGCTACATTAAGGTGTCATGTTTAAACTGTGCTGTGCCAGTTGCCTCAGCAAACTAAGTTTTCCCTGCACGTTGAGAACCACATATAGTGCAGTAGATACAGCTCATGGTGTTGGCGAGAAAAAGAGAATGAGATGTGAGCCTGCACAGAGTCTGCTCAAATGTCCAAATGATTATCTTTATATTGAGGCATCAATCAAATTTGAAGTATCAAAAAAAACATTACACATGTTCACAGAACTTGAATGTAAGTTACATCAATGAAAGCTAGTAGTAGTGTTTCTGCCTGGCAACTGCTCAGAGCCAAGAAGAGCAAAGAGGTTGTTCATGTTTATCTTTGTTAAAACTCTTGTGTGTCAGTGTATATGTGACGTTCTGAGCATGGAGCAGACATGTCTCCGTACACTCTACATACCTAGGAAGAAGGAGCTCTTGCCCATGGCCTGGAAGCAGCTGCTGCAGTCCTCGTAGACTGTTCTGTCGCCAGCTGCCAGGATGACCAGCATCCCATCGTTGGAGAGCTGCTGGCTTCCCGCCACCGGAGCCTCCAGGAAACGGCCGCCCCGTGAAGTGATCACCTAACATTCAACAGTTTTAACAATTTGATACATTAATACTTCTACCACTCCAATGATGACAGCTACTAATGTGTATATTTCAGATGGAGAAGAACAGCCACAATCTTTTTGAGGGCTTGGGATAGTTCCCAACGGTAAGAAGCTTTAAAACCATGCTTATTGTATTAGCACATTGTTTTTATACTGTGTACCTAAGATAAGGTTGTTTAGACTTCTCATAAATTGTGGCTGCTTTGGTGTGTGACAGTGTGTTGTGTTGGTGTATACCTGTGAGAGTTCTGTGATGGTCTCTGGGTCTACAGTGGACATCTCTATGTAGCATTTGCCCGGTCTGATTCCCTGCAGCACTCCACTGGGTCCTAGTACCAACTGGAGAGCAATATAAACAAATTATTTTGTTTTGTTTTTTAACACATAACCCAGTGTCACAGGAAGCCATTCACTGTGGTTGAGATGATACTCACATCCCTGGCAGCCTTTGGGTCAGAGACGCAGGAGAACGTGATATCACACATGGAGGCCACCTCTGCAGGAGTCCGGCCTAACCTGGCACCCTCCTGGATGAACAGGTCGCACTAGAACACAGCAGGCAGGAGTCACTTCTAATGAATCAGCAGCAGCATGCTAACACAGACCTTCATCACCCAATCTTTTTTTTGAAATCAAGAATCAGGTCACTGTGCCAACCTCTGGGTAATACTGTTTGCTAACCGATTTTCTTCATCACACCTCATCTTTGGGAAAGTCATTTATCAGTTTCAACTCAGACGCAGTGTGTGCGTTTCTCCCCGAGGTTTCTTGCTCTTGCGTCATTGTTTAAGTCAATGCTTGATTTCTTCTTTGATCCACATTGTTTTTTACTTTGAACCCTTTCAAACTCTTGACCTACGATGAAGTGTACACTTAGCTTTAATATTTGCTTAATCACATTAGTGCTTTATTTACTTTTTACTGGGGTTCAGTTTCTCCTATTATAATTGTACAACTGCTTCTCCTGTCCATTCTGTGTTACAACATCTCTTGTATTGTCCATCGTCTCAGCACTGGAGGAGAAATCCCTACTCTGTTTTTTTTATGCCGGGTAAAAAGGTTTTTATGCTCTATGAATAAAACTGACTTGACTTTTTTCCCTTTCCCAGTACACTACAGCCTGACATGACCCAACAGGAAATGGTCAATCACACAGATGTGTTAAATGTAATTGGCAGAAACACAGGTAAAAGTCAAAATCATATATAATCATATTGTATATCTTCAGTTATTTTCATAAAATAAACAGGCTAAACAAGGATTCTCCGAGTTAAATTTAAGACTTTAAGACCTTTTTAATACCACCTAGGATGGAATTTAATGCCAACTTCAGAAGTTACCTGGATTTAATACTCATTCATTTTTAATACACTGAATACTGTGTATTAAATTGTTTGTACTCTGATAACATAAAATGAATACAATATTCGTCGCATTAAGAACTCTTATGGTGTGAAACCAAAAATACAAGATAGAACAATAAAATATGAAACATTACAATCACCTTGGCTAGATACAGTGGGGCCAAAAATATTTGGTCAGCCACTGATTGTGCAAATTCTCCTACTTAGAAAGATGAGGTCTGTCATTTTCATCATAGGTACACTTCAACTATGAGAGACAAAATGAGAAAAAAAAATAAAATAGAAATCCAGGAAATCACATTGTAGGATTTTTAAAGAATTTATTTGTAAATTATAGTGGAAAATAAGTATTTGGTCAATAACAAAAGTTCAACTCAATACTTTGTAACATAACCTTTGTTGGCAATGACAGAGGTTGAGAACGTTTCCTGTAAGTCTCCAGCAGGTTTGCACACACTGTAGCTGGTATTTGGGCCCATTCCTCCATGCAGATCTCCTCTAGAGCAGTGATGTTTTGGGGCTGTCGCTGAGCAACACGGACTTTCAACTCCCTCCACAAATTTTCTATTGGGTTCAGGTCTGGAGACTGGCTAGCCCACTCCAGGACCTTGAAAGGCTTTTTAAAGGAGCCACTCCTTGGTTGCCCGGCGCGTTTGGGATCATGTCATGCTGGAAGACCCAGCCACGTTCCATCTTCAAGACTCTCACTGATGGAAGGAGGTTTCGGCTTAAAATCTCACGATACATGGCCCCGTTCATTCTTCCCTTAACACAGATCAGTTTTCCTGTCCCCTTTGCAGAAAAACCGACCCAAAGCAAGATGTTTCCTCCCCCATGCTTCACAGTAGGTATTGGTGTTCGTAGGATGCAATCCTCATTCTTCTTCCTCCAAACATGACGAGTTGAGGTTTTACCAGAAAGTTCTATTTTGGTTTCATCTGACCACATGATATTCTCCCTATCCTCTTCTGGATCATCCATATGCTCTCTGGCAAACTTCAGACAGGCCTGGACATGTACTGGCTTAAGCAGGGGGACACGCCTGGCGCTGTAGGATTTGAGTCCCTCTCGGCGTAGTGTGTTACTGATGGTAGCCTTTGTTACTTTGGTCCAAGCTCTCTGCAGGTCATTCATCAGGTCCCTCCGTGGAGTTCTGGGATTTTTGCTCACCGTTCTCATGATCATTTTGACCCCACGGGATGAGATCTTGCAGGGAGCCCCAGATCGAGGGAGATTATCAATGTCTTCCATTTTCTAACAATTGCTCCCACAGTTGATTTATTCACACCAACCTGCTTGCCTCTTGTAGATTCACTCTTCCCAGCCTGGTGCAGGTCTACAATTTTCTTCCTGGTGTCCTTCGACAGCTCTTTGGTCTTGGCCAGGGTTGAGTTTGGAGTCTGACTGTTTGAGGCTGTGGACAGGTGTCTTTTATACAGATAACGAGTTCAAACAGGTGCCATTAATCCAGGTAACAGGTGGAGGACAGAAGAGTGTCTTAAAGAAGAAGTTACAGGTCTGTGAGAGCCAGAAATCTTGCTTGTTTGTGGGTGACCAAATACTTATTTTCCTCCATAATTTACAAATAAATTCTTTAAAAATCCTACAATGTGATTTCCTGGATTTCTATTTTTTTTTTTTTTCTCATTTTGTCTCTCATAGTTGAAGTGTACCTATGATGAAAATGACAGACCTCTCATCTTTCTAAGTAGGAGAACTGACCAAATACTTTTTTGGCCCCACTGTAAGGCAATGTAATATAATATGCCAGTTGCTTCAGAGCATCTAAAGGCTGCTTGAAATACAGCGTTATATAGTATTGACTTGATTGAGTATTGACAGGGACAAGGAGTTGGGAGGCGGTTTGTTTTGTTCTGTTCTCATCCCGTTGATTGGCGCATCTGGGTGATGTAAGTTTAACGTGCGTTAGCATGTTGGATGTTTCCATTCGCATAATGTTAGCCTACAACAGCGGCGCAACGCCGACACACAGACTCTGTCCTCGTCTCATACACACCTGTCTCTCCGTTGCTGTTGTAACATTCACTTGCCCATTCTGAGGCAACCTGCTAACGTTAGCTTGTAAGTAGCACGTCAGAGACGTTTTGTTTTCTTTCCTGACTGAGTCGCGCCAGAGCTCAAACACTTCACAGTCCAGATCATAAACCTGAACACTAACGTAAACAGTTAAGGTTACCTGTACTGCTGTATAACATCCAAGTCACACCAAATTGAGTATATTGTAAAGTCTCACACACAAAGTATTTATATATGATGTTACAGAATTTATTTAATCCTATGAAAGGACAAGCAAAAATTTAAGATTTTTGTAAACAAAATGGAATACTTTTAAGGCCTTACTTTTAGAATATTAAATTTAAGACTTTAATACTTTTAAGACCCCGCAGGTACCCCGTTAAATCATCAGATTCACTGAAATCTGATGTGAACTACTCTGTCCTATTTATGACATGCAGTGACTTTGCAGGCACCGACCATGAGCAGAACCAGATTACCACAAGTTTCAAATGAAATATATAATCAGTCAAACACTGCCACAGCTCACTGACATTACTGAGTGCTCACTCATCAGACACAGTATCAGGAATCATTTTAACTGTATGATGTAGTAGCCTGTGCAACTGCTTTACAGTACCTTTTCTGCTGTGCGGTTCCACACGGTGACAACATGACCCATTTTCAACAGGTTGGAAACTATACCGCTACCCATCAGCCCCAGACCAAGGAATCCTATCCTAGATGGAAAAGTCCAAAGAGAACAAACAAATAAAAACATGAGCAAGCCAACGCTGACATGGAAATTGAGCATAAACATGTCTGTGTGGTCTAAGCTAAAATCCTAGAAACCCTTAAAAAGGTTAGGACTAAAATCAGTAACATTATCCCAGGGGTTAACCATGTGATCATTCTGTTCATGACTTTGAAAGTCATTTTGATAATGGTGTTTGGGAACGCTGCAGTCAGGATGTGTTAATACCTTTTATCGGTGGGTGTGATGCTGCCATTGATGGCTGTGCTGTCTGCTGCTTGGATAGATGTTGAACCTGTGTCCTGCACAATCAAAAGCAACACTAGCAATTGCATACTGACGGGAGGCTGAAGCCTTACCCAGCTTTGCTACAATTTATTTAATGAACAAAATATATTTGAAATTATATATTGAAAACACTGCAGTTTAAAATGTAAAACAAACCAATTTGTAAAAGTAAAACATTAAAATCAAGATTTAAGTAAATCAATAACTATTGCAACACTGAGTGGTTAAATAAACTACAATTCACTTGTTGCTTTACCTCTTCAACGATCTTCAGGCGCTTGCTAATAGGTTCCATTGATGAGGCTGGCTGTGCGCAGAGAAGAAACAGTCAGGTGACCAATATACTCTACACACACACGTCACACCATAATGTCAATTTCACATCAGATTCATTGTACCAAAAGTAAAACCAACTACACCATTACAAAATGTTCATTACACAATGTCAGCACAGATATTGAACTCAATACTGACCAGGTGGTCTATTTGATGGTGCTTCACCAAGTCATACACTCTAATAATGTAATGAAATTGTTATTTCTGTATATTTTGTAACTGGAATTTTATCTTATTTAATTGCTATTAAAAAGACTACTTAAACATGGACCTGTGCTCGGGGACATGAAGCGTAGAAATGACAATAAGCAAACCCTTCACAGGCTGAAAGCTTAGCAGTATAGCCACTGGCTTTCACTTTCTCTGTTACGCCATGAGAAACACTGCTGCCTCTGGGAAACTCAGCCTGTGTCCAGAGAGGGGTGAAGATCTGATCAAATCTGAGCAAGCTCACACATTCAGGAGAACACAAGACTACAGGCCCTTAGATTGGTTAGAGATCTCACATGGTGGTCGACCGATATGGGGTTTCCAATGGCTGATGCCGACACCCCCTATAATATACATGATATCTTAGAAATCTGTTGTTTTGGATGGAATTTTTATTAATGAATGAAACATACATTGGGTTCTGCTGTAGATTTCAGAATGCGACTGGTGTTTAAGGGAGAGCGGGGTTCAGTTTGTCAGAAGTGACGTTATTCAGCTGCATTATTCTCTACAGTATAACTATATATATTTAACTCTAGGCAGGTATGGTTTTAGATTAGATCAGCTGTCATAGCAGCCTCGTAACTTCAATGCTGATTATCTCAAAATGCCAGATATCAGACTGATTAATCGGTCTATCACTAATCTGCCATTCTGAAACCTTCCTCTTACCTTCTCAGACTGGCTGAGTAGGAAGTGATGGAAATGAGGGTCATCCTTCACAGGCTGCAACAGAAGGAGAGTTCAGTGTGACGGTGTTCTCTTTGCATATGTACTGACCTGACGGAGAATAGAGTTCAGAAACCCTTGAGTCTACGCTGCACAGTGCTAACACATCAGGGCTTCATCAGAGTTTCTGGTAACAAATTTGAGAGTGATTCCATCCATGGCCTAAGAATCATCTGACCTGGAGTGTTATGGCTAATAAAAATTCCCTGAATGTTCCAATTTTCCAGATAAATTATACTCTACAATATAGCAGAGACTCCATAACCCAGTATGTGATCAACTTCTGCACAAACCATTCAGCGGCATGCTAGCTGCATTTGGTGACTCTTAGAATACCCACTAAATACAGAGCAAGAAAACACACGTTGCTATTCAAAAGAACTAGAGGTGCACCAACAGCACATTTTTACTGCTGCCATAAGTGTGTGTGCTTTATATAATGTATAGCAAATCACAGTCAAAATGATTTTTGCATTTTATCTATGACACAAGGACTCTACAAGTCCTCTGAAACTAGATGGCTTTGAAAACCAATGCTTCAGGTAGAGTGCACCTCTATTAATATGATTAGCTCAACCCACGAAGCCAGTCATTGACTGATTGTCTCCATGTTAGTGGAAACTGATGAATTTTGTACAACACCATGAGTCCGTTTTGGCCTGCAAACAAAACCTATCAAAATGATTTTAGTTTTTAGGGCTCCTAAAAGCAGCAAAACTTGACCATCAGGACTTGATTTGATTTGTTGCACTACTGTCGTTAGTCATTCTAAGCAAAATATTGACAACTGAAACAAGGAAATGAGCTGATTCAGTTCACAACTCACCAGACCAGAAGAAGGCTGAGGGCAGCAGCAGCTGGCAGGGCGTACTCTCTACTGGCTGACTGTGTTGTACTACCTACGCAACCCCAATGACATTCAAATAAGATGGCACCGTTTCCTCCATGAAACATGACTACTTACAATAATGTACATTTAGGCCTTTAGGACTCAGGACATCATATTATGCAGTTTTTGGAATTCCAAAGTGGATGTGCTGGAACTGCAACAGCAACCCAGCCATTATTTAGTCTGTAAGAATGTTCCACTGACATCTAGAACAACAGTTCATGACTCAGCTTTTATTTAGGGCTGTTTCTTTACACACACAGTACCTGGTGGTCATACCAGCTTCAGAGTATAATATTCAGACTGGTCATCAACCCTGGTCCTGAGGAGCATGTTGGCTCTCATTACTACCAGAAGCTCATAGAAAGTAGGAACCTGACGGGAAATCACTCATTGCTGGGCCAACTGAAACAAACCTCAGCCTTCTTTGGAGCCTCCACATACAGAGTTGGCGACCATCAGCAGCACAGCACACACCAAACAAACAGTGTCAGTAGCCAAGTGTGAGCACCGAACAGGTCAGAAGGGAAAGGTCTGCAGTTGTTGGTGATTAAAGCCAAAGATTAGGGTCAGGTGGAAGAACAGCAAGGCAGGTTTGGTGGGAGGGGGAGGGGGGGGGTTCACCTACACTGCTTTCCCATTTGAATGCTGAGCCAGGTCCAGCCCCCAGCCTCTCAAGAGTGGACGGCTCGGGGTCAGAGTCAGTTAAGTCCTTGAGGAGGAGAGAGACACATATTCACCTTCTACATCAAAGGGTGAATTTGTCCCACAAAGCAAAGGGTGGGCGCTACGTGGCCAGTCTCTGTAATGTAAGAATCAAATGCAACCTGACGTTGTAATAAACAAATTTATATTAAACTTAACTTGAACACCAACATATCTGCTCATAATATTTAGCCTCATATAAAAAGAACAATGAAACCATTTCTTTTATCAGCTGCGACAAGCTGTGGGAAACTATAAACTATAACTAAAAACTCAAAGCGGTGAATAGGCTCCCCGTCATATCTTAAAAGTACAAGGCTTTAATCAGCCTCTTTAAGATATAGCAACAAAAAAAAAAAGTTTGTCTGCATCACCGACAGCATAAAAGTAGACTACAAAAAAGTCTGTGGGATTTTCTAAAAATGGTGATGTCATTTTTCAAAAGAGCTGATCAGTAGGCGGCGCATTTATGGAGTTGATCTCTTATCTGCAACATAAGCAGGTTAGCCGATCTGCATAAGTTACCATGGCGATGTAGCGTGTAAGAAGTGAACCACCATCATAGGACTGATAACCTAGGGTTAACCCCAAAGTCACCTCGCCAACCTCAAATCCTGCTTCGTAGTGCAGGCCCCTCATATTATCTGACATGTTATATGAATGGTAGTTCTTGTTGTTATGCTTGTTGTGATGTGACATCACATCTGATTGACCAATCACAATCACCAGCAGAGAAGGCAACCTCTGACAGTACATAGAACCTGGATTTAGTACATTTCCCGTGGTCAAAGGGGCTTTTTAAAATCACCCCACTTACTAACTAATTGAGTTGTACATGTTTTTGCCATCATGAAGCTGCAATACTAATACAATATTAATTTAGCAGGGATCTGGTCACCTTAAACTAATCCATTAAACGCAGATTGCAGTTTTAGTGTCAGTTGAAGGTGAACAGAACAGTTGATCACAGATCCCATCACAGGATGGGAGTCACTTTCACTATTCATCACAGGATTGGGACGGTACGGGAAAAAAAATAAAAATAAAAATAAGAGTCATCAACGGGAGCGGGCGGGAAACATAGGACTGTTTTTATATGCAGTTTTAATATAAATAAACACCTTTTTTTTATTAAAATGGGAATGGGATGGACAGGAGTCATTCTTCTGGGATATTCTGCTCCGTCATGAGACTGACTGGGAGTATTTTTGTGGGAGTGGGATGGGACAGTAGTAAAAATCCACACCTGTGTCACCCTCTACTGTGGATGGCTCAATGCACCGAGGAGGGACGGATGGGGTTCAGAACTTGTTAACTGTCTCTGATAACTTGGCAGTGTCCTACTGACCTTCTCAGAGGGGTCCTTCAGGGCACTGAGATCCTCATCATCCTCCTCCAGTATTTTCAGTGGCTTGTTGGGTGTTTTCTTTCCTTTCAAATCTCCTTTGCCATCAGAGTTCTGGTAATAAAAATAAAACAATTATCATTTTGCACTGGTATTTTTGCATGTCAGGACAGTTTTCACTGAGTATAAGAGTGACTGATTTCCTGAATGTTTCATGCACTCATTCTGGTGGGCAGATGGCCTCCACAGAGACCACATGTCCACCTGAATAAACATTTGCTCAGACCGATCGTGACACCTAGTAGTATTTCATGAAGGAGGCTTGGAAGAGTAGGACTCTGTTCATTAATTGTTCATTTGATTCCATCAGTTTCAGTGGTGAAAACAAACATGTTCCATCTGTTTGTTTTGGTTGAGCTGTAGTGGCGTAACAGCTGGGCTGGTTAATTTCACCATTAATGGTCAGAATTGCCTTTGTAACAACAGATAAAATTATATTTTATATTACTTATACTGATTATGATAACCTACAATGTGCATTTTTTGGGGGGGTTTGCTAAATTACAAAATCAAAGTAAAATGATGGTTCACATTTCTTGCAACTATTACGATGACTAATAGATTTCAAAATCAGGAGTGAAAACTCATCAAGGAGGGGAAAGGTGACAAAGATTATGCCCACCTGAGTTCTTCATTCTTTTTGAACGTCACTCAGTATTTTTACATTTTAGAATAGTTTCCAGTGAGATGTTATTGAGTTTATAAAGTGACTTTGCTGTTGCTATTCTAGAAACAATATTTAGTTCCGTTTAAAATATTCAATTCTAACTCTCTCGGAATTTATTTTTCATTTTTCAGAATATTTGCTTAAAAAAAAGGAACCAATAAAGCGAATCAACTGTGTGTGTAATATATATATATATATATATATATATATATATATAGTTAGTATTGATAAAATGCCAACTGATTCAAATCTTTAAAACGTTTAGAGGGCAGCTCTAGTCCGTTCAAGTGGATTAACAGGGGTATACAACAAATGACAGCCTGTCTAAAGGAATTCATTTAACGTGCTGGATTAAGCGTTACTGGACAGCCCGCTCACCTGTTCTTTCCCCTTTGCTTTCTTTAGAAAGTCTTCCACTGCATCGACTGCCTGCTGGAAGCGCTTTCCTTTATTTATCTTGATCATCTCTTCTTTGTGGGCGTGGTACGGCTTCAGCTGTTCTACTTTGATCCAGGCACTGAACAGGCACACAGAAAAACAGCTCTTACACACTGGCTGGAGAGGGAAAGCCGAGGTCAATCAGAACAGGCACCTCACAATCCAGACTTACTGGTCTTCCGTTCCAAAGAATTTCACAAAATGGCATTTTTTGCCCCTGGGCTTTTTCAGATCCTTGGGAGGGCTTACAATCTGAAATTTAAATAAATATTGTATACCAACATTACCATAAGATTTGTCATGCAAATGCTCAAATGTATTTAGCTTTGAAGCAGTCAGACATGTTTTCACTCCTTACCTTTCCTGGCCATGGTGGGTAACGGCCAAGCTTCCCCCTGTAAGAAGAGGGATACATTTAGCCCTGATGTGTGTCTATTGCCAATACAGAGACACATAACATGTTCTGTGAATCGGTTTATTTCATGTTTACGACTGAAATAAACCTTTCTATTTCAACATTCAATCTCAGCTGAACAATTACACTACTTGCTGCTTGGGCTGGGCATCGAACCTCAATCTGTTTTTACCAATACTGACCAAAATATTCCATAGTACCGAGTTTCAAGTTGGCAAGCACAGAAAGCTGGCGGCAAATTACATGTCAAATTACTATTCATCTTTCTTTGATCAGATCATTTCAGATTTTAGATACGTTCTAGTAGGCTGCTTGTGTTCAGACAGCATCTGAGAACTTTGGCTTATTGTGTTTAATAGAATAGTGTTTTATTGAAAACAATAAATTATTTTGTATATACCAAAACTCAGGTTTTAACTGTGTTACCCTGACATACAGAGAATGGACAAAATATCAGAAACCTTAGAGCATAACACAATGGAAGTGCAGTGATACATGATCTAGTGAGGCACATGATGTGTAACTTTGCTGAGGCTGTCAGGGATGTTAATAAGTTTTCAATTAGTGTTGTCCTTGTGTCTCTTAGTTTGCCATTAAGTCCTCACAAGTTGTAGAAACATTTCTCTTTGCAACATCGCATGATTTTGCAATGTTTATGAGAGATGTAACAGCAAATCAGAAAGCATAAAACTACTGTACCTCACACTTACAAAACATTGAGTTAATGGAACTTAGAAGTAGCTTAAATCGTAACGTTAGTTTAAGTCGGGCAGCTGGTAAAGTTTTAAACTAGATATATAACTAAAAAACAACGTTTTCTTGTGTATGTATTGCCATTTTGTAATGTTGATGATAATGCCTGTATGAGTAACGTTAACAAAGTGGTGCTTACAAAGCAACATCAGACGACCAGTTTTCTCATCGTTCTTCTGCAGACAAAAAAACTAAGTCACCCAACTGAGTTAAATTAACCTAAATGTAGACCGGCAGGGGATTTTGCAAATCACTATAGATAAACAGAGTGGTATGTGCAGAGAAATAGCTATAACAGTTAACACGGAAGATGCGAAGTAGATACAGTAACGTTAACTTAACGTTAGATATCCGCTTAACGTTAAGCTACCGTGCTAGCAAAGCTCGTCAGACCGCAACATTTCTACAACAGTTTACATTTTAAAGTGTTTGGTGAAGCTTTACAAATAAACACATCGGAGCAAGAACTATAACAATGAAAGACGGGTTTGGATCTATTTTTCTTTTCGTTTTAACGTTCAACCTTAGTTAAACCTTTAACTTAGCTTGTCCGCTAGCTAGCAGCTAACCACGGCTGCAGGCTGAGTTAGCTTGGCTAGCAATTTGTTTGGGTTGACCATCAACTACCTAATACGCGAACACGTCAATTAACCTAATTACGCCCGGTTAACACTAACATGAAACATTACCATTGAAACTAATACAACACTGCTTTATGCAATGCAAAATAATTTTGCCGAAACAGTTGCGTTTGACTGTGTTTAAAGGTTATCTTACCACACTAGGTCCCCGATCCTCAGATGCACCGTCGCCATCTTACAACTTTAATAAAACGTCGCACTGAATGAGGGGAAACGACACACACACCCACTAATCACATGTGAGGACAAGCCCTTCCTCTCCATCTAACATCCGCTACTCTGTTTACTGTTGGGACTGGCGTGATGTTGAAAACTAGTTTCTAACAAGCCGGAAAGTATACTATGTATAAAACAGTAACTGAGTTATATGTCATATATAAAAATCATAAAGGAGAATGATTAAACAGATGTTGTGGTAAATCAAAGTGCCACATATAAACAAGCGTGTATAGTTACATTAGCGTAAATGCTTCATATTATATCTGAAGAGCTTTTATTTCAAATAAGACCATATTCTGTTTCTGTAGCGCTGGCGTTTCTATGTTCAGCCCTGGTTCAGCAGTATTTACAGGACTTACTGCCACCTATTGGTGGGAGGACGACCATCTCTATGGGTGCCCGTCTTTTTTGGTCTTTCAGGTCTTTTTGTCAACCACTTGGTCAGTGAATATTAAGGGAAATATACTATTAAAAAGTGCTAAAGTACAGACAAAAGACTCAGTAGTAATCTAGTGCAGTCCAAATACTCCCACGTTTAGATACACATTGTAAGTCAACCCATGTTTTTCTTGAAATTTCTTTCCCCTGTCCTTCCTGATTCTGCACTTGATAAGCTGGGTCTCCCTCACATATACTGTTCCCTCACGTGCAAGTAACCATTACCCAGACAAGACAAATGAAAATTTGTACTTGTCAATGTCAGATCTGCTGTGATCCTGAACGCAAACAGTTGAAATGAAGGCCATTTAAAAGCTGTGCTAAAAGATAGTCTTTCAGCCATTACAGCATGGAGTAGGCAGTGTAAAATAGAAAAACAAACAGCTTTGACTTTGAAGTGGTCAGAGTCATTACTACTGGTCAGAGTTTCTACTACCGCTGATCTACTACATTTCATAAGGAAAATAATGTATTTTTACTCCACAACATTCATCTGACACTTATTAATCCAAGTATTATGGATTGTTATGGATGAAACAAGCTATATATATATCTATATCTATATAGATATAGATATAGATAGAAGTGGCTCCACAATAACCACTGACAATACTAAAATGCTGCTTACACATTAAAGCACCCATAATAATTATAATAATATTTTAATAATAATATAACAGCTGCAGATGGGCCGAATCTGTTCTATATAAATGGTTTTATTATCATCATTAGTATTTCCTGTAAATAGTGAGACTACAAAATAGGTGCTATATTTATAGGTGCTAGGATTAAATGTTAATTTTCCTCAGCAACACCATGATGTTACACACACAAAAACATACATACAACTTTTCCAGTTTGATTTGACTTTTATTTAAGCTTACATGTCACACAGATAGACCTGGGAAAACCCCACAAATAAATGAAACATTTAGTACCCTTCTGAATTTCAAATAAAAATCAAATATATGTTATGTACCCTAGTACCCAGTGTAAGAACTTAAAACTCAGCTGAACAAACTTTTCCTACCACGTAAAAACGTTATGTAGATGGCTGTAACGATAGTAATATAAATCCATATATTCATGCCAGTACCCCAGCATGTATTATGCATTAGCAAATAAATAGTGCATTTAAAAATAATGGAAAATACAAAATAATGCCAAGTCACCATATTATTAAAAGGAGATTTTTAAGCAACAGAGATGAAACAGCGGAAATCTTGTAGAATCGAGCCGAAAATGGGCTTTCTTAGGATGTTAGCATTCACTTAGACTTGCCTGACACCATTACACCAAACTCCTGGATGGAGATTTCTTTGTTAGTGTACTGCTGAAGCTGGCGATCTGTAATGTGCCCGAGACGCAGCGCATCCTCGATGGAGAACTTTTTCCCCGATTTTCTGTCATGAAGAACTGAGGATTCTCCCTTGGGGCCCTTGACCGTGATCTCTTCCCAGTCACACTCCTGGCTCTGTAGGTTGACGAACATCTTCCAGTCGATCAGCCCTTGTTTGTAAGCCTCCTCTGGTCGCATCTCTTTGCCTGAATCCGGGTCAATGACCACGATAGACCTACGGAGATGGCTCTCCCTCTGTTCCCTCTTTATTCTCACTGCCGCCAGGTTCTTTTGAAGCTTCTCAATCTCCTCATCCTTCTGGGTGGTTATGCTTCTAAGCTCTGCTAGCTCCCTCTGTAGTGAATCAAGCCTCAACTCCAGGTTCTTTCCTTCATCCCTTGGTGCGGACTCAGCAATAAGTCGAGTCTCTTTGCTGGTTATTTCAATCTCAGACCGTAGCTTGCGGATCTCGTTCTGCAGTCTCTGGTTTTCTTGCTGCAGACGGCTGCTTTCATCACGGATGTAGTCCAGTTCTTTAGAAGACTTGGTGTTAGAGAACTCCATATCAGAGAGCCTGGAAGTGAGGGTGGACAACTCCTGGTCAAGTTCTCGCCTTCTCCTTTTCTCCTCTTCCAGAGTCCTCCTTAGGTTCTCAATCTCAATCTCTGCCTCTGGGTCCCTCTCAACTTGGACTTTCTCAGTGCGAACAACTCGTTCCTTCACATCGATCTTCTCCAGGGTGAGCTGCTGCTGGATGAGGGCATTCAACTCTTTCTCAAGCAGAGTGTGTTTGTGCCTCTCTTCATCAAGCTGTAGTCTGAGGATGGAGTGTTCCTTCTCCTGTTGGGGATCCTGCTGCAGGACAACCTTCTGTTTGACAGTCACCTTCTCACGGTTCTCTTTGTCGCGGATCTCCAGCTCGTTAAGTCTAACCCGAAGCCTTTGGATCTCCAATTCTGCATCGCGCCTTGCCCTACGCTCACGCTCCAGTTCTTCCAGTTGCAGATCCAGGTCAGTCTTTTGTCTCTGCAGTTGATAGAGCTCCGTTTTCAGGCTCTCCTTTTGTTTCTGTTCAGTGCTGATTTTTTGTGAGAAAGTGTCGCACTCTGACCTGAGGAGAGTATCTTCTTCCATCTTGACCACTTCTTGCTGAACAATCTTCTCGCGGACCTGAGACAGATCCATTTTCCTCAGTCTGATCTTCTCTTCTTGGGCTGACCGTTCTCTCTCAAGGTCGAGGCGTTTCTTTTGTTCCTCAGCCAGTTTCCTTTTGAGAGTCTCGATTTCCTCCTTAGTCTTGGGGTCTTCTCTGTACTGCAGAACTTCATTGACCACTTCTTTAGTCTGCACTTGGGGTTTGGTGTCCCTCCATATTTGAATTTCATTACGAAGTTGGCGGATTTCCATCTCAGATTTCTCAGTCTGGTGGGTTTTATCTACTATTTCATTGCGAAGTCTCTCCAGTTCTCTTTCAGTCTGCGGATCTGTCTTGTATTTGATTACTTCTTTAATGATCTCTTTAACCTCAACTTGAGGTCCTCTGTTCCTCAGCATGGTCAGCTCATCCTGCAGGGATCTAAGATGCATCTCTGAATCTCTATAGCGCCTCTGGTGCTCTACAAGTTCAAGCCGGAGATTGGCCACCTCGTTCTCAGCCTTGGGGTCAGGGCGGACGATCTCCCGCACCTTCTCCTGAATAACAACCTTGGACTTCTCCTCCTCTAAGCTGGAAATTTTCCTCTGGAGGTCAGCCTTTTCTCGCTGTGATGATCTTCGTTTGGCCTTCTCATCTTCATACTGCCTCCTGAGGTTTTCTACCTCCCTTTCAAAGGCAACATCTTTCTCTACTTTCAGCACCTCCTTGATGGAAATCTTCTCCTCTGCCATTGCTTTCTCCTTCTCCATCCTTCGGAGCTTCTCCTGAAGAAAGTGAAGTTCATCCTCCAGCTGCTTCCTGCCATCTATTTCCTTCTGCTTCCTGTCAAGGAGCACCCGGTACTCTGTTTCAAGTTGGGGATCATTCTGGACTTTGATCACCTCCTCTTCAGTGATCACCTCCTGTTCCTTGTTCTTCTCCTCAGCCAGGACTGTCACCTGCTTTTGTATCTGAATCAGCTCATTGTCTTTCATCAGCTTCTGCCGTCTCAGCTCTTCCAGGTCCTCACGCAGCTTGCGTATCTCCTCCTCCTGACCACGGTCTCTTTCGATACGCAGGACCTCCTTCACTGTGTATTGTTGTGCCCCTTCTTTGACCTCTGTCTCAAGGCCACGCAGCTTCAACTTTAGCACCTCAAGGTCATTCTCCAGGACATGAGTAGAGCGGCGCTCCTCTGAGAGTTTTTGCTGAACCTTATGGACTTCCTCATCCAGCTGGGGGTCAGGAACCTTTTTGATCAGCTCTTTCTTGACAATTGTGTCCTGGGGCTTCTGTCCTTCAAGGATATAGATGTCAGTTTGGATAGTCTCAATTTCTTTCTCTAGCTGCTCCCTCCTCTGGATCTCATCTTCCAGCTGCTTCCTGATTCTCCAAGGCTCTCCTCCCGGGGCAGCAGCATGGACTGACTGGACATTTGTCTGGAGCATAGGGGTCTCAGGTTGCTATGGAGAGAAAATCATTATTATTGTTTTTGTTATTATTTGTATTATTATTATCATGATAAGTAGTAGTAGTATGTGAAAATATTTTACCTGGTTGAGTAGACCTTGGGCGAACTCCAGATTTTTTAGCCTTTGCTTGTTCACTGCATTCACCTCAGTAAACTTAGCCTCAATGGCAGCTTCCTGTAAACAATTAAACATTGACTGATGTCATGGAAAGCACATACATTAAATCCTTAAGTTACTTCAGTGGTTCACAACCTTTTTGACTCATGACACTGAAAGATTAGAGATAAGTCAGAAAAAAATAGAATGTTATTTTTAACATTGTTAATCTTGTCAACCTTCAGATTAATCTTACAATCCTTTGGGGGGGGTCCTGACCCCCAGGTTGTAAAACACTGAATTACTACCTCTGCCACCAGCTACATCCAGTTTGATAATATGAAAATTGTAGTTAAGGAAAATATGAATTATATCTATTCCTAGTAGTAGTTAAGCCTTCATGTTGAGTGAACATGAATGTGTCTTGAAATAATATGTGTGTGGTAAGCAGGGTTTGTTTGATTATTATTATTATTATTTTAAGGTTATGGAAGGCATGGGTGAAGAAAACAGGGACAAGGTTATGTCTTTGCTGTATGCTTGCTCATTTCACTAC